CTGATTCCATTACCAGCCTCCTAAATCTGGCTGGTGCCAAGTGGGTTCCCCTGCTGTGTCCAGCAAAAGTGTACTGGGGCATCGTTCAGCAAGCATCTGGGGCCCATGGGAGGCAGTAAGACATGAAAATGCCAGAGGAATGAAGACACAGGGGCAGCACAGACAATAAGCACCCATCCTTCCTTACCTTGGAGCAGATTTGTGAGCAGAAAGGGTCCAGTGTAGTTGGTGGCAAAGGTGACATCAAGGCCCTCTGGGGTACGTGTTGTGGGCAATCCTGGGAGGAGATGAAAACATAGGTGGTGGGTGATGAAATGATAGCCCTGAGGGACATGATGACTGGGGAGGATATATAGGGGTTCAGTAGAAAAGCCACAGGAGCATGTATGTGTCAACATCGGGGCAGTGAAGTATGAAGCTACAACTTAAGGTAGCTTCAGTGTCCAATAGGACAGTGTCCGAATGAAGAGTGTTTCCACAGGATATACAGGTTAGGCTTGGGGGATGCCTGTTTTGGGGTCCCTGAGCCAGAAAGGAGGCTCCTGAAATGCGTTTAGGGGAAGTAAGTGAAGACACACACCGCAGACTGCAGCATTGTTAACCAGTAGGTGTATCTCTGGATGCTCACGCAGAAGCCACTGAGCAAAGCTCCGGATGGAGGCCATCGAGCTCATGTCCACCTCACCAAGCAGGAGCTGGTTGCTCTGTGAGGCTGCTCGTATCTCGGCCAGGGCTTGCTGTCCACGCTCACGGCTGCGGCAGGCCAGGATCACACGCGCCCCGCGGCGGGCCAGCTCCTGGGACACGCTCTTCCCGATGCCTGTGGGAGGGCAGCTTCAGAGAAGGCTGGTCCGGGGAGTGCGGAGAGGGCAGCGGACCAAGGGGAGAGACAAGGGTGTGAGAGTGGGTGCTGATCCTCCTCTCTGCCCCCCCCTGTTGGGGCTGTTGGAGGCTGTGGCCCATGTGAGGTGACAGGGCAGGATGAGCACTCACCACTGTTGGCCCCAGTCACCACTGCCGTCTTCCCGGTCAGGTCTGTGGAGCAGTGCTGGAGGTCCCAGAGATAACACTTATGCCAGATACACACACTTAGTCTAAGCAGGAGGACCACCGTGAGGAGGACGGAGCCGGGACCCCAGACTGGGGTGCTGAGTAGAAACCACAGTGACATAGCAGAGAATGCTGGCCTGTCAGTGGAAGCCTTGCCCACAGAGGGTGGGGAGGGACTAGCCAAAGCTAAATAGGGACTAACCAAGAGGTTGGTGTGGAGCAGACACGAAATTTAAGGAGGCATTCCCTCTTGGACGTGTTGGAGCTCCCCGTTTGAACCTGAGAGTGAGTTCCTCCTTAAACTGTTTTTCCTAGTAACCTGATTGCCTCACTCCAATGCTGGCCCATATCAAAGATCAAGAGAGCCAGGACTACTCTGAGCCCTGCATAGGCTCAGATTTGTCTCCACATAAAACTTGGATTCGCACTCTAAGGTGAACTGACAGAGACCCAGGGACTGGAAATCGAATTCCTCATGTCTTGCATCACTCTGTGCTTAAGCAGGGCCATCCCCTTCCTCCCCTACTGGAATGAGACTCGATGAATTCTCCAAACTGAGACAGACCCCCACTCACAACTCTTACATCTGCTCCTTTGTGGACAGACAGATGGCTCTCCAGACTGCCTCTGCTGGGGAGTCACCTTGGCCCTAAAGCAGGGTCCCCTAAGGGTGGTAATGCAATTATTCCCAGGAGTCAGTGTTCTGTCTTCTTCTAGGCCTGTGGGACAACTGCCCCTCTCCAGTTCCGTGAGAACACACACTTGGAAGAAACTGACACACATGGGGCCAATTCTTAAAGCAAGTCAGGTGTTTATTTCTGGCAGACAGACAGAAGGCAGGCAGATTCCCACTGCCTGAGGTTCACGGCCCAGGATGGGGCGGGTGCTTGGAGGGGAGTGATGATATTTGGGGACCTGACTTTTCTGTTAGCTGTGCCACTATCACCTTGGGTTCTGGGGCACCCATGTGGATGGGACGAGAGGTGCTGCCCTCTTTGTCCTCCTGTTGAGGTTCAGCAGGGCTAAGCAGCTCCTGGGTGGCTGGTTTCCACATGCTCACACCAGGAGCCATCTTCGGCGCTTTTGGCAGCAACATGGGCTTCCTCACCACCTGGGACTTGGCCTTGAGAAGTCCAGGCGCAGGGTGAGGCCCCTTCTGAAGATCCTGGCTCTTCTGATCCTTGGGGTCCAGGCCCTGCGGGAGTACACGGGTGCGGCCCACCCATAGCTCACCCAGCAACTCGACCTCCCCCTCCCAGCCGCTGGGCCACTTGGCACCTGGCCATAGTTTGGATCTGGGGCTGCCGGCCACAGAGGGGAGCCCCAGGTGCGTGGCGAGAATGCAGAGGCCAGGACTGTGGAAGGTCAGCTTCGAACTGAAGCCTGGCGACGGTAGGCCTAGGTTTAAAGTAGGGAACTGGAGGCTGGGGCTGCAAGCCAGCTCTCAGATGGGAACCCCAGGCGGGAGAGGGAAGAAAACTGACGGCGAGACGCGGGCACAGAAGACAGAGGAACTAAGGCAGGAGCAGCCCAGAGAGGCGCTGAAGAGAACAGAGACGCGGCGGGGCGGGGGCGGGAGGTGGGAAGGAGCTGGGGCGGGGCTGTCTTTGCCTCGGCTGGTCTTCCCTTCCACCGAGGAGGGCGCGCACCGCACGGGCAAGGCTCCCAGAGCCCAGGTGTCAGTCGGGCAAGGTGAGGGTTCCTCGTCCTCCGCCCACGTGGGGTCCTCTGCCAGGTGGGGTTCTCCCTCATCCTGGGGCACAAATCTCATCTGGACCACATGGAGTATGGTCTGCCGTGCCCTGTTCACTGCGTACGGAATGCACTGCGGAGGCGAGAGAGGGTCTCAGTCCAGCAGGCAGGGGTCAGGGAGAGAGGAGATGGTTCTGGAGGACGCGGATCTAGCCCCACCTGCCGTTCTAGGTAGGATTTGCAGGCGGCATCCATCACTTGGTCCACCACCTCCTCCTCCTCCTCCTCCTCCTCGGGAGCCCTCAGCTTCGTTGCCTCTGCCTCAGTGAGACATTCAGGCACGATGTCCCCCTGCGGCACCCGAACTTTAGGTGATGTAGCCTTTTCCGCCTTGCTTCAGGTCACTCTGGGGTCTCGGGCCTGCCTCTCCTGCGTCTATAAGGCAAATCTGGGTGAGAAACCGAGGAGTGGAGAAGGAGGAAGCTTCCTTAAGTTGTCTAATAGGAAGGAAAAACCTTTTGAAAGGGACAATTGACTAAGAGCCTACTATGGGACAGACGCTTCTCGGGTGTGTGACCTAGCTATTTCAATTTTCCTAACAGCTGTAAGCCCATTTTACAGACAAAGAAACTGAAACTCGACAGAAGTTAACCTACATTTGCTTGAGATTACACCCTGAACCCAGGCTATGTATAGCTCTAACCGCAGAGTGCTTGTTATTTGCACTAGTTTAAAGTGTTCAAAACTCTTGAGAGTTCAAAGAACTTGAGAAAGATGGGTGAACAAACAGTGCTGGAAGTATTGGTGTGTTTAGTCTCCTCCCCTCCCCCAAATCAACTTAGGTCCTCACTTCACAATATACATCTCAATAAATTCCAGCTGAATGAAAGGATAAACACACACAGAAATAAAACAAAATAAAAACAAAACATAAAATGTAGGAAAAGTAGTTTAAATTGTCATAGAATCTCTGGGTAAGAGAGAACTACCTAAGCATAAACATCATGTAAGAATAATAAACAAATAGGTAGAAAAGTGTATACCTACAGGTCAAATTTTCCTTTCCTTACTTTTTAAAAAATTCCTATGTACAAGCTGGTAATAGTAATTACCATGTACTGCCACTTAAAGCCTATCAGTCACATACATGGATTCAGTTGCTATATTTTTAGAGTATGTACTAAAATAGTAGAGTATTTTTATCCCCACTTTACAGAATTTGCCCAGGATCAGAGAGCAAGGAAGCAGTGCAGTTGTAATTCATATGCAGGCAGGTCTGCCTCTAGAACTTGACTTTATCCTGCTTCCTAAACAAACAAACAAAAATGTTTCCAACAAATATTAAAAAGAATAAATATCCCACAAATATAAAAATGCACATAAATTTTTTTAAAAATCATAAGACCCCCAAGAATAAGCAAAGGACATAGTTCATAAAAGTAGAACTGTTGATGACATTTGAAAAGATGTACAATTTTCAAAAATATCAATTCCAGTTTTATAAATATACCAAAAAGCATATTCTGAAATGAAAATAAAACTATATTCTCTAAAATATTTTCTGTAATGTCATTTATAACAGCAGAATATTGAAAACATAGGTCTAACTAAAAGAGAACAGATGGCTAGTTGTGTGCGAGCTATGTGATGGAACATTATCCCATGATTGGAGGCAATCTTCAGGAAGAATTTACAATACCATAGGAAAATTCTTATGATATGTTAAATGAAAAAACAGGACACAAATTTACATCAGCTATGATCTCAGATATGTAAATCAACAGATGTTGAAGAAAAGGAAAAGCCCAAAATTGTGGGAAAAAAATAACCGTAATGGCGGATATATTTCTTTCCTACACTCCTCTCCATTTTATAAGGTTTCTACAATGATTTTGTATCCTTATATAATCAAGAAAAATCCACTGAGAAGGAAAAAAAAAACTAGTCCCCCAAAATCCATTAACGACCTAGGAATTTACTAGCAGATTCTTTTTTTTATTGATTGATTTATAATCATTTTTACAATGTTGTGTCAAATTCTAGTGTAGAGCACAATTTTTCAGTCATACATG